GGTTCTGAATTCACAACATCCTTTAGTTTGCATTAATCTCAATAACCCTTGTGGGAAGGGAAAGTCTTGATCTTTCCTAGGATGGAAGAAGAGATTCCAATTTACATCTGAATTACTGCAGTGTTACACCAGTGCAACCCAGTGATTTCAATGAGGGTAAAACTGGTGCAGCACAGTCCTGGCACTGTCCATGAGCTTACTGATGGCAAAAACTTCATTTGCAAATGATTCACCAGCATAAAACAAACTCATCCTCTTGAAGGTGAACACATGTTCCTGAACAGAGGTCTCAGTCAGTCACTTGCTGTCTCCAAGTCATGCTGCTGTTTGCTCACAGGCACAGGACACTGTCAGTGATCCCATGTCAGCTGTACCTGGGTGCCAGAGCTGGAGAGCAGGAGATCCCTGTATATCCTGCACAGTACTGTGCCATCTTCCTTGTCCCTGCAGTTTAGCAGAGTGGCACAGGACTGGTGAGGGGGATTCTAGGCAGAAAGTGCTTTTAGAAAGCAAAAATGTTTGAGTTCTGAGGCAGCAGAAAGGCAACGTTTCAAACAGCCAGCTGGACTCTTCATTAGGTGAACTCCTAGGCAAGATGATGACAGCTTTCACAAGAACACTGCCCCTCTCCCACTGCAGAAGATACACTAGAAGACTCAGAAGACATGATCACTAAGCATTGGACAGTAATTCTCTGTTTGAACTTTTGTCTTTGATGGCTTTTGCATTTAGAGGAAACTCTAGAATAGCTTTAAGTCATCTCTTTGGGGCTAAACTGGCTGCAGAGGCCCCTGTAAGTAATCTAGTGGAAGCAGGATGAAAGAACAGATGTAATAAGATGGAAGACTTTGGAGATGCTTTTAGAGTGATAGGAAAGCTCTGGAAATAGTTACATTAATGAAGAACCTAATTAATTTTTTAACAAGAATGGAGCTTCCTGAAGCTCTACCCTGAGCATAATACATGAAACAACTCAGAGGATCAAAGCATCCTTTTCATTTGTGGAGCTTCACCTTTGCTGCTTCTGGGGGGTGTACTGCACCATGGGGACTGGCATGACTACTGAGGCTATCACAGGTCACATGATGCAGCAGTTTTGCTATTTATTTCCACTGGCATCAGCTATAAGCCTCTCATTTGAGAAAAACTATGTTTTAAAGCTTACCATGTTCTGCTAGGCTTCAGAAGTAACTGAAAGCAACAGAAGATGAGAAGATAACATTTACATGGTAAAAAGTCCTAAAATTAACACTATTCCTGAAATGCTGTGAATCTCTTGTTTTCTTGGCTCTCATTCCCTCTCTCTTCCTTTGGGAATGAGTTTACTCACCACTATCATTACCTAAAAATCACAGTAACTACCCTTTACACACTCTTCATCTGCTCAACGTTTTACTTCTGCTGTTTTACTGTGACAGGGAGGAAAACCTAATACATTTGGGTAGTCATGTTTTTCACTTGAATTTGTCAATGGTGAGATTATTTATAGTGTTCTAGTGTCCATGAAGATACCAGATTTTTTACTATTACTACTATCATGGCCTTGCTTTAAAGACTGTAACGCTAGTGGACACCAGCTTTTGTGCTCTCCTCTTGAGCTCACTAATAATGCTGAGTGGGAAGCAGCTTAGTGGTTTCTCCTGAAGGCTTCCAGGAGATGGGTTTCAGGCAGTACAGCTAAACTGACTGCCCTTTGTCATCCTACCTGCCGCTCACAGTGATATCAACTTCTGCAAAATGTTTGGGAAAGGGAAGGGACCATGTGCTCCTGTCATTGGTGCCCATGGAGCTGACCAATTATTCATCTTCTCATTAGCAGAGCTATCCCTCCAGTCATTAGCTGTATCTTCCTTCACACTCATTAGTACTGAGTATTGAAATTACTAGTTTTGTGGAACACAAAAAATTAAAAATACAGAGTTGATGTGCAACACTACATTAGGCAGCAAGAGTTTTACTCATATATCCAGGGTTTTTAATGGAGAATATAATGTGCTATTCACATATCACCTTTCTTCTGTGGGTCAGTCGCACTTAAGAAGGTGACAGAAGATACCCTTTCCTGTAAAATCTGTTCCACTAGTAATATAATTAATGCAGCTGCTACTTCAGATACAACATGCAAAAGAATTAGCTCACGTAACATTTTGTAGTATATGAAAATATGTGTTCATACATGTGTCCTGCTTATTTTTGTTCAAGTATCCCTGAATCTTTTTAATTGCTTCTTTGCTTCTTTCATGGCCACCTGGGCTCACATCTTTCTCTTCCACCATTTCAGATACAGACAAATCCAAGAGAGAGAGAGAGAATTATATAACCAGAAAGCAGGGAAAAAAACCCAAATTAAGATATAGTGAAAAGGTGGCTTGACTTACCATTTTACATGAGCAGAATGATCATAAAAGGGTTTAACTTTGTGCAGCAAACTATATGCGAGCAAGGATGCAGCACAGCCTCTCCTCATGTAAATGATGCTTTGGATTCTCTCACATTTTGTGTCTGGAGGACAGGGAGAATGTGGTTGTCTTGGTGTTAGGGATGAATTTCCTCTCTTGCTGCTCCTGTCTTTTCTCCTTGTTATTTAACAGAAACTTCTTTCTTCTTTCAAAATTACATGGAGCTATTGATATCTCATAAACACATATTCACCGAGTATTTTCCTATGGAATTGCATACTTAAAACATGCTATGAAACTTTAGGCAGGGAAAAAAAAATGCAGGAGCCACGTTTATTATTTTGTAGAATAAATACCACCAGCTTCATCTCTGTATGTGGCCATTACTTAAGGTGTATCACTGACTGCTGGAAATTCCTTCTACACCCTTCATCATTTCTGGATGTACTGGCGGTAGGAGCTACACACACGAGCCTGTCAAGCTCAGAAAATGCACAGGTGGAAGGTGAATAAATGTAGCAAACTACATGAAGTCAGAAGTCATCATAAAATGGACTTAATGAAACAGAGGGTGCAGCAGATATAGAAAAAAAAAAGGTGTAAAGCCTTCATTTGCTCTGTTAATTTGCATTAAAATAAAAATATTATGTAAATTTTGAACATAAATCCTTTACGTCTTCCTATATACTCATAAGGAGATTATATATATTTTCATCACCTGTTAAAAACTTGCCCCTGGCTCTTCATTTTCTTTTCTCAGTCACCTATTTACACGTTTATTATGTTACTCAAATAACAGAATACACTTTTTAGTAATGTCTTGAGACTTTAAGTATATTAACAGGTCACCGCACCTCCTTTTTCTTTCTGCTTTTCTTTTAAGGAAAGGAAATCTAGAATATGACACAAAATCAAGCACTGAGTGTATCTTCATCCTGTACCTGGCCACAGAACAAAAATGGGAGATGCAAGGTCTTCTGGTCCCAAGTTTTGCACCTTGCCCCTAGACAGTAGTTCACTGCTGAGTCAAAGTCATGCAAATCTGGTTTGGAAGAAGAACGGGCTTCGTTCTTCAGTGCAAGTGCTTAGCTAACTAGCTGCATCCAGGCTGGCTAACACAGCTGTATTTGGTAACGTCAGTGGAAGGACACCTCTTGGGCCATTTCCATGACTGTATCCAGCACTAAGGGTCCTCTTCACGTTCCAGCCAGAGATCTGAAAGCTGACTGCATACACGAACCTCTGGGGCTCCACAGCCTCCAAAGGTAACCCCTTAGGTAATTTCTACACTGTCTGTTGCTGTAGCAATGGAGGCTGGGGTTTTATCAGGTGGTGCTGGGCATCTTGGTATCTCTCTTGTAGCTAAGTGGCTCTGCCTCTGAAAGCTTTTTCATTGACTTCACTGGCGTCAAGATTTCACTCCAAATAAAGATCCAGCCCAAAGGCACTAGATACAATTTTTAACTGAAATCTTAGAGGATAAGAGTCCTCGCTATAGACTTGACTTCTGATTTGAAGTACTTCACTTCAAATAATTTACTTCTGCTGTCAGAAACTATCATTCTTAACCCTGAAGTAATGGTCTTTCTTCAATTTAGGTGTCCGATATAATCTGCCAACTTTTTATCTTCAAATATCAAGTGTATTTTCACTGCATCTATTGCACAGGTTACTGCTATGTAGTAAGGAGAAACAAAGTGTGTGATTTAAAATTATTCTTCTGCTTTTCTATTTTTGAATCTCCAGATGGCCCCTGGGACTGGTGATGTTTTCTTTAGTCTATATATTTCCTGCTTTAATTAGCTTACTTAACCAGTAAGCTTTCATTAGCTTACCTAACCACCACATATTTGAGAGACACACATGATCAGATAATACCAGGTGCTAATGTTTAATTGCACAAAATTAGAAGTGGATAAATGGTTGACCTGTAATTGAACTATCTTATCAGAAGACAAACTGATCAGTGTTGTGACATAACGCGGGAGCTTCCCAGGCTTGCCTTAATTTCACATCAGCCAGCCAGGCTTGCTGTAACTACAGCGAACACAACGTGATTTCTCTGTCAGAGCTAGATCAGAGCTGGGTGGCTGAGATCTGCCATACATATATGTCAGCTGAGGGGCTGGCACAATTTGTATTACTAAGAGCAGTGAAGTGAGCTCTTTGATTTAACACCTAAGAAAAAACATGCAGTAAATAGATCTTTTAAGGGGTTGTTTTGAAAAAAGACATATCTCTTTCCATCCTTGCCCCTTCTCAGTGTGTGTGCTTGTGAGACAGGACAGGTGGCCACCAAGGACATTTGTTGGGAAATGTCAGGTAGTTAGTGCTGAGAGTGGCGTGCATCTGACATGAGAGTCCATGGATGGACTGGCTGGAGCAAATCTGAAGCTTCTCCTTCTTGTACCAGATTCAAAGATTTTTATTGCTCTGTGAAATACCTGAGTGAGGTCGAGTGAAATTCTCAGAATCTGCACTCTCCATGCGTGCTTTACCAGATGGCTATTATTAACTGGTGAACAGGAATGTCTGGTTTCATGTAATTTCATAGTAATTTTACTTGACAGTTAGGATGGAGAGGACTCATGCAGTACTTACAGGATCCCTTTTTACAAGGCTTGGGTTAGGCACAACAGCAATGAGGTGAGCAATTGTAAACATGGAGTTCAGCACATAAGAAAAAAACAAATTCTTATGCAGCGTTATCCTTTGACAGCTGAGGCTCCTGAAAAATACGTAGCACACGTTATAAATTACTATTTTTCTTCTGATGTCACTTTAACAGCTCTTTCTGGCAACAGTGTCTCAAGAATGCCTTTTGGCAAGGCGTAATTGGAAAATAAATGCCTTGCATCGCAGCCGTAACCTCTGACAAATTTTTGGTTTTGTTTTTACACCTGTTTAGCACCACATGCTTCTTAGACCATGTTGTAAAGAGCCATCCAGCTACATTCTCAGCCCTTGATGCCTTTCTTTACTTCATGGTAATTGAGATATTAAGTGGTGAAGCAGAACCCTGGGAATTATTAGATGCGCATGATACAAGTAATGAGCATCAGGAATACTGCTTTATAAGTAGCTGTTCCCTGGAGACTCAATTTCTCAAACACTCAAATGAAAATTATTTGCTACTTTAGGAATAAGTGATGAGATAGGATGGGAACTTTGGTCAGGAATTTCCTTAAATTATAGGGGGATTTGGGTTGGTATCCCACATGTTTCTAACTCCAGCTGAGATCCAAAACCAGAACAGGTTGTTTTCCTACTCAGGAGAAGCAATCTTTTCTGGATGACTGATTTTGGGGGTGGGTGGGAGGGAGAGCATTTCTGCTATTCTGGGTAGCGGAATTTCACTGGAGAAGTTCTCAGAAATCTTGTGAAACCAAATAATGACTGCAGTTTCAGACCTTAACTATTTCCCTTTTCTAATTTGTGCCCAAATCCTCATGTGACCTCCTTGGCTACCGCTGACAAAAACACCCCTACAGCACTCCATGCCCTGGACCGTAGCCTGGGGCTGACAGGAGGTGACTGCAGAAAGGCAATCGTGGTGTTTTTAGATACTGCTGTGATGTCTGTATTCAGTGATCACTGAGAGCAAGCAGGCAAAACCTGTAGGTAATAAACAGCTAAGAGCAAGTATCGCTGTATCACTGAGGTAAGCTTCCCCCTCAGCACTAGGACTCTTTTGCAGTTGGAAAGAAGCAAAGGCTGTGATTTTCTGATGCTCTGCATGTGGAGGTCAACACAGAATGCACTTTCTTTAAAAACAGAGAACTAATCCAACCAACCACACTCTGTTCTCCTTACTTTTTCTGTTTGTTTATTCATTTATTTTCCTTCCTTTAGCTTGAGATTGTCTTTCTGGCTATGCTCATGATCATCCTGTAGTACCCATCACTTTTGTTCACCTTATTTGCCAAGATACTTTCTTTGGTTCAGGATGTCCACAAGATGCAGATCCCAGAGGCCAGGAATCAGAGCATCTCATTACATTTTCCCTGATGTTATATCCTTCCCTTAGCATCAGCTATTGGCAACTGTTGAGCACCAGATATGGGGCTAGGTGCACCTTCAGTTAGATCCACTGTAGGACAGGATATTGGGCAAAACAGCCTATTCTTTGGAGCTATTTTTGCTATGCTTTGTTCTTGTGCTTACTCCACCTGTATTTTCCTCCTGGACAAATCCAGCCTAGTGCTCCTTTTCTGCTTCTAAACTCTGATGTTACTTATCCAGTCCTGAATCTTCCTTTCTCCTTATTCTAGATCACTATGTTTTGCCTGTGCTTTGCCTATACTTTGCCTACTACTGACCCGACCTTTCTTAGGACGTGATCACATCCCTATCACCCCCTGCTTCTCCCTTGCAGTCCCAGGAACAGGGTTGGTGTGATGCTAATCCTTTTCCCAAGAAACAAAAATTTCCTGATGACTTAGAGGAGTCTCTTCAGCTCTGGGCCACAGAAATGCAGACCCTTCTATCTCCAGCTACCGTTCCACATGCCTACCGGTACAGAGAGAGTCTTCTATGAAAATCTCTGCCAGGTTCATGTGCTTCCATGCCCATTCATGTCCTTCCTCACTTTTGCCAGTCTTACTCGTCTGTTAAAGACGACTGTTAAAGGTGCATTCACAACACACCATCAATTATTCTGGAAAATCTAGACCTATTGTACTCCCCATCAGTCTTTATACCAGTTTTTACCGTGGCTGTGGTTTTGTCCTTTTATCTTTATATATTGGTCTTTGTTTTAATAATTCAATTGGAAGCACTTTAGATCTAGGAGTCCCCTTTTTTCTTTTGTGTTTTATCATACAAGATAATGGCATCTCAGTTTACAATTTTTAAAATATTGCAATAATTTGATGATGCATGTAACTCGTAGACGCTCTATGAATACTCCGTTCTGTTTTGTTAGCATTGCCTAGTGATGCACATTACTATGGATTCAGTATTCCTTTCCAAAAGTACTGCAACATCTGTGATGCCAGATCATTATGAATCTTGATACCCAAAGCAGAAAGGAAAATAAATCTTTGCCAAGAAAGTCTTATATGTGAGAAACAGCAGCTTCTGCAAGTTGTTTGTTGCTGCCTCTACTGTCAAAAGCTATTACACAGTCACAAAATAATTTCTTACTATCCAATTGACTCTCTGATTGACAGCTTGCCTTCTATTGAAGGTCAAATAATCTATCAATGTCATAGCCAGATGACAGAAAACCACTGAATGTAACCTGAACCCTGCTGTCATACACTTTTGTTCTCACTTTTCTGATAATCGTAGTTTGGTTTCCTCTTTGTCCTGCCATTCTGCAGTGCTTTGTTTTAATTCTTTTCTCTACTTCCTCCTGTAACCTTTTGTGGCACGGATTAGTCATGGAAGGGGAAGGTGAAGTGGAGGAGAAAAGAGAGGAGGACGTATGTTACTGTCTGGAAGGCTGCTGCAAGATGAGTTTTTCAGCACATCCTGGACTGGTCAGGATCATGCGCTGCCTGTGACTCAGAGCTAAGAGTGAGTCAGATAGCCTGATCCTGCCTTGCTCACTGCAAGGAATCACCTTCCTGGTCCATTTTGGGTAAACAATTTAGCCAGATGCTTTTTACTGTCCCAAAGAACACTGAAACCTGTGTATAGGATTCCAAATCAGATTATACTGTGCTCTTTCCAGTTTTCTCAAAGCATTACCACGGCTGTGGTTTTGTCCTCTTTATCTTCACATAGATATGGAATTAATTAGTTTATTGGGTAGAGTTTCTAGCTATCTCTGTATCTGCTTACTGCATGTCATCACCGTTACTCATCATATCACCTCTCTGGAAACCAGCAGAATTCGCAACATATATTTTGGATCCACCTCATTTGAGCCTGTAATCTTACAGTCTATGGAAAGTGAAATTATTTCATTTTCCTTTGTTTCCTAGACTTGGCTTTGGTGGTCGTGATGTTGGGGACTTGTTCTTTTACTACCCTTCCTGTTTGACAGTTGAGACACAGACAGCTAATTGTATAACCCGAAGATTTATGCTAGCTTCTCCCATCTCCTTAATTTACCAAGCACACCCTTTTCCAGTCTGTATGAACACCCTCATCCACAGTGTACCTTTCCAGGGACTAGTAGCAGATGAACTAACCAAAGAGAAGCTTTGCATAATGTTACTAAGAAAATTACTATTAGAAGGCACACAACCTGAACATATCCATACGTATGTAGTACATACAGATCAAAGCTGGGACCAGAAATGGGCTAAGGAGCCTCATGCAAGATTTAGATTAAATAATACAGGAACTCTGAGGCTAGAACTGATTTAAGCACTGGTACAAGGTATCTGGGGTTTTGTGGAGCACCTCTTGCTGCAGATTCTTAAAGGCAACCAAACCCTTGTGCAATAGAGCTGGGGGGTCAGCAAGGCATTCTTTTTATCCTCAAATGTAAGCGACTGCCATGCATGTGTAAGCTGGAATTTTGTGTTTGCTATGAACCGGTGGATTCTACAGATCTTCCTATCTGTGTATTTGTGGCCAATAAACCGCATCCAGAAACTCAGATAATGAAGTTGGTGATATCTCACAATCCATTAGGCAAAGTTTGTCACATTGCACTGAAGTTTTGCACTTACGCAGTAGAACATTAAATCTACCAATTCCAAGACACTTAACAAATGCCTGTTAGTTTAGACACGTAAAAACTCTGTAGTAAAATGAGTCATGTTTAAAACTAAATGGTCATGATAACAAATGTGCTGGCTATACCTTATTACAATTATTTGGCCTTGCAGGTGACAAAAAGGAACAGCCGAATGTGTTGAGAAATACCCCTTGTATTAATTTAAGCCTGCAAGGTAAAGGAATAGAAAAAAATGACCAATTTTTCCTTTTTCAGACTTGGAAATTTTGGTGTGAAAAATTGCTTAGGAACATAATGGTCCTACAGAGAACAAATCCTGGTCTTTTTGAAAATAGGGCATATATGCATTCATGATTTGGCACAAGTGGGAAGTTATTAATGTAAAACCTGCTCATAATTCACAGTTATTATTTTAATCACTAAGATCTTAAAAAATGCAGTTGATTTGCTTGTGAAATCTGAGTTGGGAGATTTGAGGTGTTCTTTTTGGTTTTCATTTTTCTAGAAACTTCAACCAAAAAAAAAAAAAATTATAAATTCTGACCTGTACACAAAAGGCCCTGCTCTTTATCTGTCTGCTGGAAAGACACTTAATCTTTAGAACTGTTCTACACTTCTGGATTGGAAATACATGTTTGAACTGCTGATTGAAATACATTTATTTGTGCATTCATCAATCTATCTTTCTATGAGGATGGTGATAACCAAAAAATCATATTTTGGATGCTCATCGAGGGCTCAAATTTGGTGACACTCCTGTAGAAAGAAGCTTACTAATAGTTTCACACAGACTTATTTGTGTTCTGGCATAATTTTAGCTTGAAATAATTTCTTGTAGGCTAAATTACAGTCTTGAAGCAGTATACTCTTACAATGACAACAGTAATGCACTTTTAATTACTATAGGTTGCCATTACCGTGCAACTGCTATTTAATAAACTCTGTAAAGAAGCTTGTGGGAAAAAAAAAAATGTTCTTTTTGTGTTCCATTTTCCTTGTTTTGAATACTCAAAGAATACTGCATTCTTTGAAGTGTGGGATTTTTCTGTATCTTGAGTGAGGTAAATTTTTTGGCAACTACAACTATATGTGTTATTTATTTAGAAGCAGTTGTATTTGTTTCTATTACTCTTATTTTGTTTCCCAGTGTGCAGTGTGGTGAATACTCCTTTGGAAACTTGGAAACCTTTATCTAGGTAAAGCTGGGAAACTACCTGGACTTTTAGGTTACCTTGCAATTAAACCTAGATAGACTATATTGATGGTGTGCATTTTCCTCTCTCTGGTCATGAACTGATGTTCTGGTTATCTGATTACAAGTAACTGAAGCACCTTTGATGAAATCACTAAGCTACCATCCCATTTGGGTCACTCTGCTGGATATATTATTCTGTTTCATCAAAGTATCTGTGAATGTATTCTATAACCATGATTTCTGAGTGTGCCATCAGTCTGAGAAGTTTGCAGTTTATAGGAATGTTACAAAAGTTAAATACCTTAAAAAAATTACTTAAGAGCTGGAATAATATAGCTTATGCAAGTCATCATAGTTGTGGATGTACAATAGCTCAGAATCTTGCCCACTGTTTATTCTTTAATATTTTCCCCAGTGCCTTTGATGTCTTCTGGTGCTTACCATTTCTCTGAGCTAAAAACTGAAGGTTGTTCCCAGACAGCCCTTCACTGCTGATTGCAGCTGAAGCTGTGACTACACATCAGATGGCAAATCTGAGCTCCCTCTGCTCCTTCACTGCAGACACATTATAATAAATACTGTGCAGACAGGTTCACTGAAGGACAAAATATAAATGCTCTAGCTAAGTTGCCACACAGTATCTGTAATGCTTTCAGAGAATAGCAGTTTAGTCTTCTCTAAAGTTCTGATACAGCGCATCACTGTTTTAAGCTTCTAATGATAATCAAAAGGTATCCCTGTTCGTCAGGAGCTGGAGGTCCCAAGCCACTGCCCTCTGCAATCTCTGCTCCTGCAGAGAAACAATAGGGAACTGGTAAATGAAGGGCCTCACTGCATCTTCAGTTGCACCATTTCCCTGTGGTCTGCACTTTCACATCAGTCTTGATAAATCCAGCAGCATGATCTTGGCTACACACCACTGAGAAGATGTCCTGTTGGTGAGAGGACACTGTGCTGAGACTTTTTTACCAGGATCATACAAAAAGGAACTCAGAAGAGCTGTTTCTCACTGTCATGTCCCCTTCCAAGCCTTTGTTTGATTACCACTTGAGATCCCTCAGGGAAAGAAGAGAAACTGTCTATAAGAAACACTTACTTGAAATAGAAGAAAATTCCCAAGGAAATCAACAGGGATGTTATAGACAAAGCATGGCCAACGATCGCCATATAATAAAGTATGAACGCCATCTGCAGATTAACAAAAAGAAAAGGCAAACATGAACAATTTGCAGGCATTTTTTTTCTTTCCCTTGAAGAATCTATAAAATCAACTTCCCATTTTGAATGTTTTTTCTTTTAAAGATTCTTTTTCAATATACTTTTAATTTTAGTAATCTACTAAATAGCATGATTCATGGCCTAAAGATGAGATGTTTTTTATGTGAGTTGATCTGCTCCTCCTGCACTGCAGTAACTGCTAAGATCCCTGTTCAGACTATGTGTCACTGATTTTCCTGTGCTCTAAGAGACCACAGCAGACATAACACATTCAGATTTTCAAAAAGTCCACAACAAGTTTACACACACAAAAAAATTATTAAACAAAATAGGCTGCTGCTGGATTGGCAGAAAGCTTTCGTGGCTTGAAAGTAGCTCAGACAGGGAACAAAAGCTTAACTCAGGGAACAGGAACATGTCTTATGAGCTTTAATACAGAAAAAAGCGGGGTGATAGACCTAGGAGCAAATGATCTAAGCCCTGTCTATGCAGTGCTAAACTCAGAACTGGAAACCAAACTCAGGAAGGAGATTTTGGAGTCATCCTGGCCTGTTCTCTGAATCATTGGCTGAGGGTGTAATGACAATCAAAAAGTGAACAAAATGCTGGATATCATGAGGAAAGGCATCAAGAGTAGAACACCTTTGTATTTCTGTGTATTAAAATTCACATTGTACATCTTAAATGCATGTGTTCTTCTCATCTCCAAATATTATGGACAATAGTAGAGCTAGGAAAGATGCAAAGGTGGCAACTAAATAAGTGAGATAGAGTATGTGTTACGACATTGGTTCAAATGTTGTGATTCTCCCCACTGGATAGGAGAAATCGGAGGGGGGCTTATGATTAGAGTCTACAGAGTCATAAAAAAAGAAAATATGTTAAAAATTATCCTCAACTCCTACCACAGTAGAACAGCACAACCTGAGACAAGTTCCGGTTCACACTGGTGTGAAGTCAGTACTCACAGATAATCATACTTTCATTTTGACTAATATCAGTGAAATCTAAGATAGGCTTATCCATATATTGTATGCCAATAGTGAAAAAGAATTGCAGGATAGCACCTGGGCTGTCTCAGCCAAGCTTTTAAGCATCACCAAGCTGTCAGAAGGCTGCAGAAGTCTAAATGGCATGCCAGGCTTCACCACTGACTGCTTTTTCTGAAAGAGCTAATATAGTATCAGCCTATCCTGAAAAAAAGGACTAGATTGCAGGCCTTAGGTCCTCTGATTTATTTTATTTTCAGCTCCACTTTAATTAATTTTTCTTTTGTTATGCATGAGCAATTTTCCTTTTTCATCAATTAGAGGAATTGCTCTCTGTAGCCCTAAATTTTGCCACTCAATTTTTTTTTTTTGTGTGTTCTCAAGCAATTTTGAACTTTCATTTAAAACCAGATATGCATAAAATTCAGAAAATAAAGCTATTCCTCTTAGCAAAGATGCACATCTTCTTACCTAGTCTGTTCTTCAGTCACTTTACAACTTTGGAATAAGCTCCTGCTTTTCTAACTAACCCTAAGTGGTAGTGGCCTGATTCAGATTTAAAACAAAGTTACACCCACACCATTCTGACCATGAAGAACAGACATGATCGGCATGTAAGTATTATTTACCAAGTTATGGAAATCTATGCTATTAACAGCAAACACCCTAAAACTCCTAGTTTTCACAGAATCATTTTGGCTGGAAAAAAACTCTTAAAATCATTGAGTCCAAACATTAACCTAACACTGCCAAGCCCACCAACAGACCATGTCTCTAAGCACCACATCTACATGCCTTAAATAGCTCCAGGGATGGTGACTCTATCACTTCCCTGAGAAGACTGTTACAAGGCTTGACAACCTTTTTGGTGAAGAAGTTTTTCCTAATGTCCAATCTAAACCTCCTCTGCTGCAACATAAGACCATTTCCTCTTGTCTTATCACTTGTTACTTGGAAGAACAGACGAACCCCCAACTCAATACATTGTCATTTCAGGTAGAAAGGACTATGTTGTAGACAGTAAGAAAGTCTCCCCTGAACCTCCTTTTCTCCAGGCTAGACAACTCCAGTTCCCTCAGCTGCTCCTTATGAGACCTGTTCTCTAGACCCTTCACCAGCTTCTGCCTTTTCTGCTGATCACATGCCCAACACAGAATGCTATTATCATTAACAGGCAGACCAGCAGCCAAACTCCTCCCTCTTCTCCCACATCACACACCAGAGATCCAAAGTGCCAGACAACCAGAGGGAGGAACAAGTCAATGCACTCATTCACCGCAAAGAATGTCAAAAAGGGATTGAGCTGGTCAAGGAACCATGCCATGGGAGATGGAACCACCCAGACAAGGAGTCCCATTATGTAGCAGTTTACCAGATAGAAACTCATGATCTTGCCCCATCATCTTGGGAACTCCACCTGCTATGAAGAGTCAGGGAACCCTTCCAAAAACCAGAGCCCTTCCAACAACCAGAATCCTCACACAGCACACCCACTATTAAGACAAATCTCCCAACCCCTGCTGCAAGCAGAGTCAGCTCTTATAGAGGAGGCTTCTTGCACCATCTCCAAGTTAATGTGGAAGGCAGGTGCATCTAGTTGTTATGTCCTAATCAGTTCCCACCCAAGGCTGGCCAGACCCTGGGTGAAAAGATCAGGGGGGTCTTTCTTGCTTGGTTGTGGCCATCATCCATATGCCAACCCTCATTCAGGGCTGGGGGTTTAAATCCCAGCACTTCACTGCCCTTCTTTGGACATGCTCCAGCACCTCCATGTCCTTGTAGTGAGGGGCCTAAAACTGCACACAATACTAGTTGCAGCCTCAACAGTGTGGAGTACAGGGGCAAAATCACTTCCTAGACCTGCTGGTCACACTATTTCTGATAAAAGCCAGGATGACATTTGCCTTCTTGGCCACCTGGGAACATTGTTGGCTGATGTTCATGTTTCCTTCACAAGGACTAACCACAACATTGGTAGTGAGCACAAATGCTTGACAACTTGTTCTGAGAGCACAAGCAACTCCAGAGAGGGAAGACCACAGTGCAGAGAAGATGAGACAGCTTTCTGAACACATGGTAGTAGAAGAGTTTTCACCTGTGCACAATGTGACATTTTTTACACTCCATACTAAGTGGTTCTTTTTTTTTTTCTTTCATGGTATTAAATTGATACAATTTTTAAGTCTGAATTTAATTTACAGATGAATTGTTCAAAAATATGGTGTTTCACTGCCTATACTGTAAACAAATCTTACACTGAAACACATAGAAGTAGAAAAGGCTTCCAGATAGCTACATGCACGCCTAAGTGCATCCCAGAGGACTCCTGGTTATTCAAACCATCTACCTTCCAGTGTACAGCTGCTAAATCAGTTTAACTGTAAATCTAGGATACAGCAATACCATTTTTGATTACTTCCTGTAAACTTACTATGGTAACTGTGCAAAAAAGCTTTCCAACTATAACAACAAAGGCAGATTGGAATGGGCTGAACCATCGGCTCACAAAGCATATGGTTTATCATTGCATTTTTAAGAACTGAATGCAGTCATTTTAAACTTATCTGTGTCCAAGTATAACATATTGGTATTTCCAGTTAACTTCAAACAAATAGTGAACTATTTTGTTAATTTCTGCAGTCCTTGAGATGGCAATCTGTCATGTCCCTTGTGACATAAAGGACTTCTAACACACTGACTCACCAAATTTTTAGCCTCTGAAGATTTTTTCATCCTGTACTTAGAAAGCTTCTAAAAGAAACACTTAAATGTTCCTTTTAGTCCCTCTGGAATTCTTGACTTGAGGAAAGAGAATTTCCTAACAGGAATACCTCCTACTCAGTTAATTATATTATCCACAGGAATATGGAAAGAGCCTACAAATGAAGCACACCCCTGTTTTTGAAGACTTGTAGTAAAGGTCATATCTAACTTGGCATTTCTGTAAAGATAGATTCTTTCTTTGTTCTCGAAGACTTTTTGTTTCAGAAGAATCTTGATGTACATATAATTTTCCTTTGTGTTTTATCTGCACTCTGCTTGAATGCTGTTCAAAATTGTTCTGCAAGGCACGGATAATAGGTAACAGAGCTACATTTTTTGGCCTGCCTACACGGGCCAACATCTGGAAAAATTATATTTTTATGATGCTTCCATTTAATGCCCTTGTGAACTCAGATCATTACTATTATTCTTTCCTTGTCAATAGGTGAGCCCTATTTTACCATGATGGTTCCTCACATTGCAAAAACTTTTAGAGTTCACCTCCTGCCTGGTCCAGTAGACTTTTCCAAGGCCCTTTGGCTGGATCTTTACTAAATATAACCACATACTGCTTTTGGCTGCATAAAAAAGATCCTCCAACACAAACCCCAAATCAAATAACTTTTTTTGACTCTTTTCCTTCCACAATTCCAAATAGTCACAAATTATTCTGTCACAAATTTCTAATCAGATTTTCCTGGAGCTCCACTCACATTTGAGAAATATGTTTATTTTTATGAGCTTCCCTAGAATTTTTTTTTTAAGCTTGTCTCAGATTTCTCTCTCCTTGTTTCTTTTGGTACTTTTCTATTTAGTTCTTTTCTTTCAGCTTAGCAACTTTATTTTGGAAATACTGATGCAAATGCTTAATTCATTATGGTAAATAGTCTCAAGGATTTCAGTCAGACTGTTAAAGCTAAATGTATTCAGGCTTGTAGGATTTTCTGGATTTATGCTACTTTCATAAATATTTATTTTCAATGGAGTGCATATAGCGTGATACTCTTTGTTTAAGAAAAATAAATTTAACTTATGTTCATATTTCTAGGCCTGCAAAGAAGACATCAACAGCTTGGAAGACATTTGTTACAGAAAACAAAATTGAAATTCTAAAGGATGATTTTATAACTGTTGGAAAATCAGGGAAAATCAAAGAAGTTTCAAAAATGCATTTGAAAAGTAGTGCAAAACCTTTTGCATGAATTGCTACCCAATTATCCATCCCATATGAAACTTATGTTCAGGTCTGAGCACTCACCAAATAATTTTAATAAGCTAAAATCATGAGGACAATTCCATTAAATTCTTGTGAAATAAATAAAGCTAAAAGATGAGGACTATTCTGACATCTTGCTTACTGCTATCCCAAGCCCCAAACCATTCCCAGTCACTGCCCTTTTGACTATAGCATACCTTCAGCTTTTCAGAAGTGAAAGAGTTGCACAGGGTATAGTTGGACCAAGTTCGATTACTCTCAGGATGGCGGAACCAGTTTCCAGTTTCATCACAGTATTTTGAAGCCCTTTCTGATAAAAAATTTCAAAAATAGTTATTTCAGTATATGCATATTACACATTGAAAAATCCATTAAAAATGTCTATGTTTGGAAATAAAATGTCTGTGTAACAAAATCCAAAGAGCTTTCACCTTGTGTGATTAATAAACGTTTGTTTGAATTTTTGTTTGCTTGTTTGTTTGTTTTTGGTTTGGTTTTTTTTTTTTTTTTCCCTTTGCCTCAGATATTTATCTAATCATATACCTGTGGTTTACCTGTCTCCTTTTGTATTCAGTGAATGCAATAGAGTATATATATCCAACCTTCATTCAGATGCAATTATGTGGTGATAATAATTCATTTCTAGAGTCTGTTGAAAGCTGTTCATGGAAGAGAAAGTCATGTTAGGCCCTGATGCCGAACATGACAGAAGCGTGCATGGGCAGGCAAACACAGTGATCTCTGTGTGTCGTTAGTTCTCATCCCAACCTGCAGTATTTATATTGGAAAATGGATGTGCCCACTGGCTAGCATAGAATCATAGAATCCTTTAGGTTGGAAGCGACCTCCAAGATCATCAAGTCCAACCATTGAGCCATTAGGGCTCTAAAGTCCTCTGCTAAAACAGATCAGAATCTGTCAGGGTTGGAAGGGACCACAAGGATCACCCAGTTCCAACCCCTCTGCCATGAGCAGGGACACCTCCCACTAGATCAGGCTGCCCAGAGCCTCAGCCAGCCTGGCCTTAAAGACCCCCAGGGATGGGGCCTCAACCACCTCCCTGGGCAATCCATTCCAGGGTCTCACCACTCTCATAGTGAAGAACTTCTTCCTCACGTCCAGCCTGAATCTGCCCACTTCCAGCTTTGCCCCATTCCCCCTAGTCCTGTTGTTACTCGCTATCCTAAAAAGTCCCTCCCCAGCTTTCCTGTAGGCCCCCCTAAGATACTGGCAGGCCACAATAAGGTCACCTCGGAGCCTTCTCTTCTCCAGACTGAACAGCCCCAATTCTCTCAGTCTGTCAGCGTAGGAGAGCTGCTCCAGCCCTCGGATCATTCTGGTGGCCCTTCTCTGGACACGCTACAGCATGCATATTTAACTTCTTCTTTTCAAACCTGACACTCACTAGGACATGCTGGAATGCATAAATGCTAGCAGACTGGGTATTGCAGCAGGGTTTCAGGTATCAAGGGAAATAATTCGTTGAAAATATCGTGTAGAGAAAGGGTAGCAAGCTGCATGTAAACTGTAGCCTGGGTGCTGGAGATGGTGGCAGTCCCAACACTAGCCACACACTTCTGCAGGGTGGTGGAAGAATCTTGCCCAGCCTCTGAGCCAGCTAAATCCCACTGTGGTGAGTGAGAGCACTGCTCATTTTCCTGTGAGGCTGAAAAGCATCCAGGCACTGGGACAAGTAGCCTTGCAGACATTTTGGCACAGGTCCCAAGTGTCTAGTTTAATTTCAAATGGCTGCGAAGCCCTCTGTTTAAATAATCTGATGTGTGTTTGGCCTCTCCACATGTCTCTAGTGCTGGTTCCTGCACTACAGGTGGCTCTGGCATCCTTACCAAAAGCCCTGCTATACAGATCACTCTCCAGGTTTGTGTTCCTTCATACACATCCTTTTACTGTGACAGGGCTTCAGCACCATACAGCCCTGCAGGATGCCTGGAGCTGCAGATGCTTGCTGTGTTTGTGTCCTCCTGGCCACACTCCCATTTCTGTCTGGGAAACCCTGGGTGCTTAGGTGCAGACAATCACTCCTAATCACCTGTCAAGTTTTGGACCAGTTTCTTTGGCCTTCCCTCAAGCATTAGCCACATGATAGTTACTGGAAAGTTTGCCTAACAAAGGCGGAATAAGATCAGAAACTTAAATTATTTGATATTTTTTTACATAGTGACACATCTTTTTATTTATGAAAACCACAGATTTTCACATCTGACTTAAAATAGTTGAAAAAGCCTATCTTGACTTCCTTTTGCCTATTCTTGCTTTAGTTTTATCAGCTTTATACATAGATTATCAGCATTTCCAGCACACATTTACAGAGCAAATTATCATTGGAACATACACATCTTCATTTTTTTTGTTCAGCATTTGCATTTATTTTTCTTCATCACCTCTGATGATTAATGATTCCATTAATTGGGAAGATCCATATTTGTCTGTATACCCTAAGGAAAGCAATTGATCATACTGACAAGGGAAAAATTGTACAGACTGTACAGCTGTACAGACTATACAATTGTATAGGCTTCCTCTAAGTAAAAACACACTTCATTTAGTTCCATTGCAAAAATAAAAACAGAACATAGAATACTTTTGAAATCACTGTGAGTTTCAAATAATTGTTTTGGGGGACTTGTTGAAAAGCAATTCGTGCATCAACAACACCGACAAGAACAGTACATGTTATCTCAGCCTTCCATCACTGCAGCTTGGAGACAATCTCAGCCTGCCTGTGTAGCAATGTTCCCATTGCACTTGTTGCCAGATATTACCTAAAGCTGGAAAAAGTTTTCAGTCATAGATAAAAGATTAATGGCTATGCTACCACAGAACACAGCGTACACAGTATCTACTATCCTGTGCACTGTGCGCAGTACACAGCTTTTGTCAATATTCTGCAGAGTGCAATGGTAGAATTATTTATCACCTCTGTATTTTAGTGCCTAGGTACGCACTCTGCTGAAGCTTAATGTGGCCTCTGTAAGCTGAAAACAAACCTGTTGCCTCATACTTTTTCTTGAAGCCAGACAACTGATCCTAGTCTGAAAGAAGCCATGGCCCACAGATTTCTTGCTGTGATGTTGCCAGAATATGGGACTTGGGATAAGTCTTCCTGCTGTTCATCCCAGTGACTCAAACACGCCAAATGCCTCTTCTAAATCTATGATTTTATACAGAAATAAAGCTGTGAGTCTATAACCCAACCACTGTTCCACTTTAAATTATTCTACAGTGGCCCAGTAGCACATGTGGGATTATGAAGATGGGCACATGTTGGTTTTTATGCTAACTGGAAAAATCTAGTAAGCCTCAAGGAATACACAAATGTGTAAGGATGGGTAAAGCAATACTAGCAAGGCAAAATGGAAGCGTGTGCTTTAAGATTATTCAAATACTATGTAAACTCTATTTTTGGGGGCTCTGTCTGTACCCTGTCAGCTTGGACAGGGCATCACTTGTGCATCTCCAAGTGGAGGAACAATGACATTGTGTAGGATTCTGTCCTGGTTCCGTGTAAAAAGGGGTTCAGGGCAGGACCCACAGAACTATGTACTCGCCTCTCCCTCCCCCCCCCCCCCCCCGGAGCGGGAGGGCGCAC